CCTTCATCAGAGTGGTGGCAGTGTCACAGGAGAAGGGGGGAGGGGGATGTTACAAAGTTAAAGTTGACAAACCTTGGCAAGAGATTAATGGGGGGAAGGAGGAAAAGGTGAGAGGGAGGGAAGCAGAGAAGGAGAGGAAAGAGAGGGGAGAGGGAGAGAGAGAGAAAGAGAAAGAAAGGGTCAAGATAACACCTAAGTTTTGAGACTGGGAAGGATGGGTAGTGGTGCTCTTGTCAGTAACAGGAAAGTTTGGAAAGACGGGGATTTTAGAGCTGGGGATGGAGAAATAAGGAGTTCGGTTTTGAACATGTTGAATTTAAGATGTCCAGTGGGCAACAGAAGATTCAAGACTGGAGGTCAGCAGAGAAGTTAGGGATGAATAAGTAAAGTAGATGTGAGAATCATCAGCATAGAAATAATTGATTCTAAGTGCTGATGAGCTCACCAAGTGAAACTGAATAGAGGGAGAAGATGGCTTAGGATAGAGTCCTGTGGGATACCCACAGTTAAGGGGTGTGATGTGGATAAAGATCCAGCAAAAGAGGCTTGAGAAAGATTGGGTGAAATAGGTAGGAAGGGTGAGATTAGCCTCCGGAAAACCTAGAGAGAAGAGAGCATCGAGGAGAGTTCGGCTGACTGCAGAGTTCTTAACTGACTGCCTTCCAAAAAAGAAATGGAGGTCTTCAGTACAACAAAGAGGGAGCAGCACTGTTACCTTGTTTATCTGAAGACAAGACAGCCCAGGGAAAACTGAGGGTCATCACCTGTCGATGCTAGGGCCTAGATCCTTGAGAAACTCAACACAGTTGACTATTTTAAAACCAAATAAAAACAAACTGTTTCAAAGACTGCTTTAGGGAAGTCAGTGTTTCTAACAGAGAAGGGGAGACAGCAGTAAGAAGGACAAGATAGCCTGAATAACCCTTAAAGACTCCTATGATTATTCATTCCTCACCCATAAAACAGTGAGGGGTTTAAGAAAGGGCCATAACCAGCTTTATTTAGTTATCCCATTTGCTAATAAGTAAATGCTAAAACCAAGGTGCAGAAGAGTTAATAAATTGTCAGAGCAGGAAAAGACCTTGGTCAAAGGTGTTTAACACCACCATCACCCATCTCCACCCCTCTTCCCCCCCCCACCAAAAAGCTTCAGTTCTGCACAAGAGAAATCAAGAGAACACTGAAATCTGGAAAAGAAACAAAATGAACAGCACCCAAACTTATAAACAGCACAGATTTTGTGAATGCCCTTACTGTTAAATAAACACAAGAAAATGGGGCTAATAATAAAAATTTGCATAACACTTTTAAATTGGCCAAGCATTTAATAAACTCAGCCCCACATAAGCACTGTGAGGTAGCTGTTGAAGGTATCATTATTCTCATTTTACATAAAAGAAAGACATAGGCTTAAATGACTTGCCCAGGGTCACATAGCTATGAAGTACTAGAGGCAGAATTTGAACTCAGGTCTTCCGGATTCTAAATTCAACAATTTAAGCAGCTATATCAAACTGTATCTGAAAACACTGCTTATATTTACATAGAACTCTACAGTTTACCAAAGGCTTTTCTTACAATAATGAAGAAGCTGAGTCTTATGAAGGTTATGACTTCATCCAGGGTCACAGGGATTAAGGTGTTAAGAGACCTGCACACTCAAGGTCACTTGGCTTCAAGATCAAGGTTGTTTCCTCTTTGCAATGCTGCCTCTTTCCAAACTGGATCTCCCTAATACAGTGAGAGATGATCTCTCACTGTTTCATTCTGAAAATGAACTCTCTCTCTCTCCTGCTCAATCAATGGGCCTCCTCCTTTCATCCCAGATAATTGGCCAGGGCCCAAGACTTTCCAGGCTCCCAGAAGAACAAAACCATATTCGACAAGCACAGAATGCTTTTCTTTTCCCAAGCCCATTGGCTCTGCAAAAGCTATGGGGAAGCAGTTCCTGTGTCCGACACAGCCTCCCATGCAAAGGCTTCTTATTCCCATTGTTCACCGGCCTCCCACAAAAAAGAAGGGAAATGCCTAAAAGCAGGCCATGTGGCTTCTTAATGCAAGATGTATGTTTTCTCTTTGTGCCAGAGCATAAGGCTGGGTGAGGGAGGGAGGAGATGATGCTGAAAAATCTCTTTTTGGTGCAGAAGGAATACATTTTTCCTCCCCTTCACTTAATTGGCCCAATGGAGCCAAGGAAGGGTCTCCTTTCCCTCTTAAGCCTATTTGGCAGAAGCACAAACCACAGAAGTGCCAAAAAAAGACCCCTTTCAGACACAGCAGATGGAAGACTGTTCTCTGGGACGGCCTGGAAAGAAAGCTCTGCAATTTCCTAGATGGAGTTAAAGGCTAGTCTGTGGTCCCGAGGAAAGGTCAACAGTACTGATAAATCTGGCCATGAAACAGAAAGCCAAAGGTCTCCAGCCCCTCCGTGCAAGTGCATGTGTAACTGCTAAAAATACCTGCACAGAGAGAACCAGGCAACAAACCCACTAAGCCCAGAAACACACTCTTCATCTACACATCTTTCTAACATACAAAGACAAGCTTGGCCATCAATCCAAACTTAAAGAATCAGAAAAAAAAAAAACCAAACCAAGGACATCATAACTTCAGAAAAATAGGTGGGAGGGAAGGGGATAGGTACAATTACCAGTTTGTTTTTTTCATTGTTATTATTTTCCATATCACTTTAAATTTCCAAATATCTTCCTCCCTCTTCTCTAACCCAGAAGGCCATTTCTTGTAACAAAGACTTTTTTTAAGAGAGGAAAAAAACAGTTCAACTAAGCTAACCAAGACTTCTACTAGGTCTGACAGTAGTATATGCCATGTTCCATACCCACAACCTCCCCCAAATCGGCAAAGAATGTTTTCTCACCTCTTCTGAGGTCCACTTGATGACTGGTTTATTAGTTCATTGTTAAATCAATCTTACTATGCTAATTTCCTGCAGGTTCCTAGTCCTCAAAATTAAGGAAATCATTTGCCACTAAGAGCAATCTCTAATATAGAAAACCTCTGAAAAAGAGGTCTGCTTGGGCCAATGTAAAACTAATTGGTTTTCAACGGCATTAATCACAGAGGGCACCAGAAAGCAGTACTCTGGATGAGAATTTGAAGAATCACAACCAATAATTCTCTGTTTAGCCCTGGGAATGTACAGTGTTGGGAGGAGGGAAAAGAGGGAAGGGGAGAGAGAAAAGGCATTGGGGTGTCTGAACAGAGAAGAGAGAGAAAACAAAAAGGCAAAAGTCGGAAAGAGGGAAGAAGTCAACAGGAAAAAAAAGGGGGTGTTTTTGTTGTTTTGTTTTTCCGTTTGTTTTGTTTTGTTTTCTGGATTGGCTTTCCTCAAGTCCAGATGGTGTCAGTGAAAATCAACAGGAAACACTGGCCAAGTCAAAGAAGCAGACAGAACATCACTGGACCAAGTCTCAGACCAGAGCTCCAGAATAATTAAACTCTTCTTGCAAGTAAATATGCCTAATAACACTGTCCTCTCTACTTCATGTGTCCATTACAAAAGAAGTACAACAACGATGGCCTTTGTCCTAGTCAATTTCTTACACGGAGAAATAAAATAATATTCTCACCTCCAAGAAGTTATTATCAGTGGCTCAAACACTTTGCATCCAAATAAAGCTAATTAGAGGCTAGTCTGCCATTCAAAGCCAGAGATTCATCCAGGTCTCTATGTTAAAATTATTCCTTTTTCCCAAAGTTTCTCCCATCCATCCATCCATCCATCGCTACTCACCCCCATGACAAATGTAGTCTTCTTTCTATTCCTAATTTCTGAAGGATTATCTATAACCACAAAGCACTGACAAGTGAACAAGTCCAAACTTGTCAACCCCAAAATGCTAATCAGGCCTCCAACAACCCACATTATCAGTGAGCTGCATTGCTGAGGACAGTCCAAACTGGAAGCTAGCTTTCATGGGCATTTCTTCACGGATTTTCCCCAACTTCAGTCTAAGAGTTCAATAATTCAGCTCCACAGTTAGGGAACGTGGGGATGACTATGGGAAACCTCTCCCTGGGAGGGGTGTGGGGGGGGACTCTAAGCCCCCAACAGCAATATAAATTAGATCACCCCACACTGGCTTTCCTCTGTGCATCAACCCTTTCAGGGGAAGGGGGAGGGGGAGGGGGAGGGGGAGGGGGAGGGGAAGGGGAAGAGAAGGGACGAGGTCTCTGGCCTGAAGTCACTTGGTACAACTGAACAAGATAGTGATATTCCAGAACTGCTGGAAGGTTAATTTATGATATTAGCACACGTGCAGTCCCTGATTGCTCTTCCTGTAAGTCTACACCCTAACCATAAATGCTTGCATAAATAAAATATTTGCCGAGGGAAATCAATCTAATTGAATCAAAAACGAACCCCTCCCCCCCAAAAAAACCATAACTGGCTCAAGTTCAACCTCCTGTCCACACCATTAAAGCAAAAATATTAAGTTAAGTTTCAAACACCCAAAGTAAAACGCTGGAAGTTTGTTAGATATCAATTTATCTCTCCCTTTATCCCCCCCCACACCCACCTTGCTATTCGGAAAACAACTTAAACAAGGCCAGGTTGGTGGGGGAGGGAAACCTCGGGAGGATTAGAGGCGAAGAGGAATAAACAGCCAAAGCAGCCTGAGCATGTACCCGAAAAATATAAAACCAGGATCCAAGGGTCAGAGACCCCAGGCGGCACTGATTTCGTTTTTGGTGTGTTTTTTTGTTTTTAAGTCTATTTTCAGAGATTGGCTCGGAGACCCCTGACCAAGTGCAAAAACTCCAGCATTATATCTGGACATTAGCCACTCGGTGACACGTTCTCGGAGATATCCAAACTCGATGGCAGCCTTAAAGTCTCATCACTGGAAAAATGCATGACAAAAAACACACAATAAATTGTCAGCCCGTTGGTTTCGTCAAAGTACTCACTGCGCATCACTACCCGAAATGCAATGGCTTGGAGAGTATCAAGAAGTCTAAGAAAAATGTCAACTTACTGGAGGGTGAATCCGACCCTGTATCCAAAGGTCATCGAGCGGCTAAAATCCCTTCCCGAGCGTAGATCCAAAAGGGGTGCAGCGACGGGTCCGGAGGGGTACGGTCGCCCACTTCCAGTTTCCGAGGCAGCTCGCCCGAGCCCGTTTTCCCCCCATGTGCTCGGGCCGCCGCACGCGCTCGCCTCAATGGAACGTTGTGCTGGCGAGCGGCCCTCTGACGTCACGAGTGCTCGCGAAGCCTCTGTACGCCGCGGCGGCGGCGGCGGCGGCTCCTGCTCCCCGCTGCCCTGCCGCGCGCGCCCGACGAGGCCAGTCTGCGTGCATCCCGGGGCGCCCGGCGCTGAGAGGCTGGCCCTGCGAAGGCAGCAGGCGTCCCACCTCCACTCCCCCGCTCAGGGGCCCATGTCCCAGGATCCGCGGGACGAGCGGGGAGGAGAAGGGAGAGAAGTGATGGATGGGCCGCTGCGGCGCGAGGGCCCACATGGTGTGGGGGAGGGGACGCGCGTCTCCCTGGGTGTGCGCTCGCTGCGCCGTCGGCCCCGGACGAGACTAGCGGGAAGGGCATTGCTGGCCCTTTAAGGGACCCTAGGAATACAGATACACGTGCGCGGGGTTTTGTTTTGTGTTTTTTTTTTTTAATGGGGGAGGGTAGCGGGAAGAGGGTGCTGCGGGGTCGGTGCATTTCCTGGACAGGTTTAGATTCCTTGGGCCTGAAGGTTTTAGGATCCCTACCAAGAAAAGGGACCTAGCCTGGTGGAAAGAGCAGTGGGTTGGAAATCAAGATACTAGGCTAGTCTTGGCTTTGCTATTCTACCTGCAGTATGCAAATACAACCTCACGGCTTGTTTTGAACAGCAAGTAAGATAGTGAGTGCAGAAGGCATACATTTCAAACAACTGCTATAAATGTCAGCTCTCAATAAGTCACTTCCCCTGCCTTTGCCTCAGTTTCCTCATCTAAAATGAAAGAGTTGAACTGGAGAGCATCGGGGGATCGTGGGATTTAAAGTTGGAAGGGAGAAAGGAAGCCTGGTGAAGTAGGAATAGTAATGAACTTGGAGTCAGGGGACCTGAGTTTGAAATGCCAGTTTTGACCTTGGGCACGTTACTTCACCTCTGAATCTCGGCTTCCTCACGTGTAAAGTCAAAAAGGCTAGTTAACCTCTAAGAACCTTTCTGTGCCTAAATCTATGAACATATGAATCTTAGATATTAATAATTCATATTTATTTAGTATATATAAGTTTACAGAAGAGCCTTCCTCTCCATCATCTCCATGAGATGAGTAATGCAAGTATTAATTACCCCAATTGTACAGATTGAGAAACTGATGTTACCTGCCCCTGGTTATAGAGCACTGGGACCCCTAAGATCTGAGCCCTTTCCATTTTACTACAGGAAAATGAAAATGCTGCTGCACCTTGTTGCTCTAGAAAGAGCTTATGTTTGGTATCAAAGTACCTGGAATTGAATCCATTTATTTCCTTAGCTAAATCCCCTTACAGTCTCAGGGCCTCAGTTTCCTTCTCTGTAAGAAAGCTGAAGCAGCAGAGCTAAATTACCTCGGCAGTCCCTTCCAGCTCTAAGTCTGTATGATCCAGAATATCCAAGATCAAGCTAGTCCAGCACTTTCATTTTTAAAATGCCATTAGTACCTGAGGCCTAGATGGGTGAAGTGATTTGCTCGTGGTGACAATAAACAAATGTCAAAGCCAGGGCTCAAAGTCAGCTCTTCTGATTCCAAAGCTAGTGCTCTTTCCACCCCACCTGGTAGGGACAGCACCCTGGAAGTAGAGAAGCTTGCTTTCCTTCCCCTCTCCAGTCGCTGAGGATTGATGTGCACAGTTTGGGGCCAGGGCCAGCCTTCAGAAGTTATTCCTCTCATTTTACAAATAGGTCACCTGCTTAGTCAGAGAAGTAATCAAGAATATAATCTTTGTTTATCAATGAGTGTATGTATGATGGCTGAACTGTAAGTGATCCATTGAAAAGTTCTTTTTTATATCCTTTGAAAGAGATAAAGAGACAAATAAACTAACAGAGCCATCCCTAGTGGAGCCAGGATACAACACCATCACACCACACCAGACCACATTCTCTACCATTTTCACCAAAGTAGAATCTGAAAAAAAAATCTGATTACAGTGAACATAATGGAAGCCATGAAAGGAAAAAAGAGAAAAGTAGAGAAGTAACAACTAACTTGAGGAGGAGAGGGTCCTGTATTTCCAGGGTCCCTATACCTTTGGGAAAATTCTGAATAGTATCTCATATCATGTTTCATTTAGTGCCATTAACCTGTCTCCCAAACATTAATTCAGTCACTCACTTAATAACTATTTAAGCATGGTATGGGACAGGCACTATGCTAACAGCTAAATATACAAAGAAAGGCAAAAGATTGCCCTCAAGGAGCTTAGAGTCTGATGGAGGAGCCAACATACAAACTACTCTACATACAAGATATTTAAAGGATAAATTAGAAATAATCAACAGAGACAAAGCACCAGAATTAAGAGGGATTTGGAAAATCTTTCTGTAGAAAATAGAATTATAGTTGGGACTTGAAGGAAGCCAGGGAAGACCGAAGGCAGAGAAGAGGAGGCAGAGCATTCCAGGTATGGTGGACAGCCAGTGAAATGCCCAGAGTCAAATGGAGTGTCTTGTGTGAGGAACAAGTCAGGGTCACTGAATCACACACTATGGGGAGAAATGTCAAATGTAAGAATACTAGAAAAGTGGGGTGGAAGGGTAGGGTTTGAAGGACTTTAAATGTGAAGCACATTTTATATTCAATCCTGATAGGGAGACACAGGTTTATTGAGGTGTGGGGTTGGGAGGAGGTGACATGATCAGACCTGTGCTTTAAGAAGGTCATTTTGAAAGCTGTGAGGTTTACTAACTGTGTGACTCTGGGAAAGTCACTTAACCCCCAATTGCCTCACCAAAAAATAAATAAATAAATAAATAAGCTGTGAGGAAGATGGATTGGAATGGGGAAAGACTTGCTTCAAGCAGACCAACCAGCAGGCTCTTGCAAAAGTCTTGGTATGAGGTGATAGAAGGCCTTCCCTCCCAATGGTGGTAGTGTCAGAAGAGAGAAGCAGGCCTACAGGAGAGATGTACTGAAGGTGGAAACAACAGGCCTTGGCAACAGATTAAATATGAGGAGGGAATGAGAAGGTGGAAAGCCAAGAATGATGAAACCTTTCAGGTTTCAAACCTGAGCAACTTGGAGTATGTACCCGTGACAGGAAGTTAGGGAAGTTGAAGAATTTAGGAAGAGGGGAGGGTTTGGGGCTAATGATAATGAGTTTTCCCAACTTTCTTATTAAATGATTGTCCCCATATATTTCAAGGGGGATAAGGGTGTGGAAGAGTTTTGACCTAGTTATGAACTGGTCTGACAACCAGCCTCACAGTACAGAGAAGTGCAAAACCAGAAAGTTGACCACTAAATAATTTTTCCCAGTCATAACAACACTCATTGCAATCTCCTCCAGTCAAAATAATTCACTAAAACAGGGAGAGAGCAAGCATTTATTAAGTGTTTGCTATGAACCAGGCACTGTACTAATTGCTGGGGATACACATATAATCAAGGAGCTTCAATTCTAATGGTGGAAACAAAAAACAGCTCAATTTAAATGCCACTTCATCTCTGACATTTTTCTTATCCCTCTCCCTCCCCATAACTCTCTTGCTTAGACTTCACCTCGACTTTTGTCTAAAACCTCTTATCAAATAATACTCTGGATTGTACTGAGCAGAACATCAACTAGAGTTGAGCTCTTCTGAGAAGGCTGTTATTATTCAGTCATGTCCCACTCTTCATGACCCCGTGGACCATACTGTCCATGGGGTTTTCTTGGCAAAGACACGAGTGGTTTGCCATTTCCTTCCCCAGGTGATTAAGGCAAATAGAGGTTAAATGACTTTTCCAGGGCCACACAGCTAATAAGTGTCTAAGGCTGGATTTGAATCCAGGTCTTCCTCACTCCAGGCCCAGTGCTCTATCCACTGAGTCATCCAGCTACCCCAAACTAAGAAGATACCCCCTTCAAAATGTTGCTGTGAGGAAAGCACTTTCATCCTTAAAGTATTGCCATCTAATAAGAGTGCATAAAAACTATTATTTTTAGTAATAGCAATTCCACAAATATTTATTTGGCTTGGCTGTTGTTCAAGCCTTACCTGTAGATTCAGCTCAACTTCCAAATTTGGGATCATTTCTAACCTTAGGAAGGAGGTTTGTAAGGAGCCTAATGTAAGATGGAGGGAGGTTTATTGAGTTAATCACTCACCATCCCCACTTAAAGCTAATCGTGTGAGAACACATATATGCAAACAATCTGTGATCAAAGGCATTATATTGAATGCTAACAACCTAGTTAATGATGTTGGGAAGAAGTCTGGTGCTTCAACCAACTGGATGAAATAAAGTGATGTGACTCTACAAAGGAAATGGGTCATAATTGGTTGAGGAGATGTAAAATGAAATAAAAGACTTATGTAAAATGGCAAACCAGTTTGAATTCTAGCATTTAAGTGGCAGGCCAGCTTAGAGGAGAAGGTTGTCTAACCAAACCCCTGAGAGGAAATCAAATGGCTTGCACAAGAAGAGTCTCTTTCTCCTCTTTGCCTTGACCAGAGGCTAATTTTATGAACTTTGAAAGATCACATGAGAGGCCTAGCACTATCCATCAAAGAGAAATGATCTTCTACAGTCTTCATCAGGAATGGAGAACAAACTAAATTGACTGAGGAAAGGCAGCTTCAGGACTTTACAAGGAACCCAGCAGAAAATTGTGCCACGCCTAAGGAGAACATCATGAAGACGCTGTGAAGGGAAGAAAAGGACTTGTAATAGTCACGAGATGTGAGTTTTCCTCTTTGCCACTTGAGCTCTTAAAGAATGAGTCTCTTTCCCCCTAGACTCTCTATGTCATTGTAGGAAAATGTGTCCCAGACTTTTGAAGGAATGCTTATTCTGAATGTTCTTACTATACTTCCTTAATAAAATACTCTTCACTAAGACCTAAATCTATCTTGCTATTGATACCAACTGGTAATCATTGAGGAAAAGCATACTGGTGGGGGCTCATGGAGTACAGCAGTAGAGAAACTACTCCCAACTCTTCAGGCTTACTCCTAGAGCCCTGAATGGAAAAGTAGCCAGCC